GGTTTAAAAATAAAAATGTTAATTGCCACATTCAAATAAAGATTTTAAGATGCAGGCTAAATGTCACTAATTAAACATGTATATGTTCAGCTAATTGTCGGCCTCTTACATATGTGCTTCTCAAAAACAATTAGCAGATATGCATATAAACAGCCATTTAATTAACAGAGTAGAATAATCATGGCTGATAGTAATACATGCAAATGTAAAAAAAACAAACTGGATGCAAGAACAGCTGTTACTTCTTGCCCAACTGGTTAATGAAAAAAAAAAGGATATAAATCAAAGAAAAATTTAGAGTTCGGATAACCTCCAAAACCAAAGGTGATACCTTTTTAAAAGGTCATTATCATCAAATGTTTCTAAAATGTTTATGTTCAGAAGCAGATTGCCAGTGTTCTGAGGATTTGTGCTACCCTGTCAGATTTTGCTACCTCCCATTAAAACAGATGGTAGCATAATTCGATAGCGAAAAGTGCTACCTATCAGATTTTGCTTCCAGCATGATATTAATAAGGTGTGAGGCTTTATTAACATGTACACCTACCCCAACAGTAGGATAAATACAGTGTTGATAGCATACTCTGATAGGGAGCATTATTTATCAGAACACCGGCAACAGCCATTTTAGGAATAGTTTATGGCTTGGTCTTAGTGACTTAGTAGTCCTCTTCACTACTGCTAACGTTTCACAGATTTAGGAGCTAGTTTTTGTGCTAAAACGCTTTAGAGCAAAAATTTAGGGGTCCTAAATTTAGGATTGACACTCCCATTATTTTAAAGATTTTCTCCTAAATCGGCGAGTTATGAGCTACTTTTAGCCTTAAGATGTTTTGTGAACACGGACCCTGATGTCTCAAAGTCACAAGTTGAGTAAGATTACCATTAAATCAATGATTGAGATTATATGTGCAAAATTCAGTGTGATTACGTTAAAGATCCGCATGTGAACTTTTAAAGATTTTGGATTTTTGCTTTAAGATGTGACCTTGGAACTTGTGTTAAATATCTAAGTGTACTTTTTCATTTTGTGTGCATCAAGATAAACTTCAAAAGATAACAAAATGTGTCAAAATCATTTTGATATACTGAATAAAAGCATAAGTTTAACAAATGCAACATTGTGATGTAATTTTTGTCACCATTTTACACATTTTGTGTTTTAAACATAAAAACAATCGTCGTATCCACATTTAGCAGTTTTTAAAAACGATAATAAAAGCTGATAATAATAATAATAATAATAATAAAATTAAAGGCTAAAAGTTGATATGATTCTTTAGGGTCTTAATGAAAAGTCTGTAACATAGTTTGGTTAAAATTTCTCAATAGTAGTGTAAAAAACACCTTTTTTACCCTGTCAAAAACAGCTCTGTTCAGATCAAGCCGTTTTGTAGCATTTTCCTTTAAATGTTAATGAGCTCTGCTGACTCCGCCCCTCTCTTCCGAGCTGCTCTCTGAGGGACTGTTTACTTTAGCCGCATTCATCGTGAAACTTGCTAATTAGCACATAATTAGGAAAGGTGATTTGCAAAGATTCATTACAAAACATTATACTCACTTCTTCTGTAGATGAAGCTGGATCACGAATTATTCGCACGAACATAGACGCATTTATGTAGATCGGGGGCGCATTCCCTTCAGAAACAATGTAATCCACTGCGTCTTCAGCGGCTCAGATGTCGGGAGTAAATGACGACT